TAATAGACCGGACATCAGTAACAAAATTGTCGTCTGTAACTTTTGTCCTATAGGATATATCTCCGATTTTTAGTCTGAGTGACATCGTAAAAAGGTCAAGACGCATACATTTTATAAATTTAAAAATATTTTTAAAGAAAATATGCCTGGTTGTGCATTAAAGTACTGTAAATCACGATATGGAGCAAAAAATGAACGTGATTTCGGTTTATTATCGTAAGAATAATGTTTATTTACCAAATAATCTTTAAATTTTATTATTTCTAGTAGATTGTTCGAGAAGAAAGAAAAATTATTATAATAAGTGCCCTCTGCTATCCAGTAACGTCACTATTTATTTACAAATATGTTAGTGATTAACGTAGTGCCTACAATGGATTTTAACCTTACGTTTAGTAGTGTCACCTACTGGAAAACAGCTAAAATGTTTTCTAAATAAATATTCAGTGTAGTATTCCTATATTTCGCTAGAGGGTGTAATACATGCGCGTGGTCACAGCTTTTGTATGCAAATGTTCCCAATGTCCGCTCTATAGTGTGTATATATATTTAAATCTCTTTGGTTGTGAGTGTACGTATTGTGCGCATGATTGTTTTACCACATTTTATATGAATTTACGAGATTTTTTTCCATATTCAGACGCATGAATTCATATTTACGATAACTGCACTTAAATTTATCTTTTTTTGTAATATGTTTTTTATGTAAAAGTTGTAGGTAAATTTTAAACTGCATTTGGTTCATATAATGCTCATAAAAATCAAGTCTACAGTGTATCGATACACTATTATTATAAATTTATTAATGTAAGTAATAGTATTCTTTTATTTCTTTGTAAAAGATAACGGATCCTAAAAATTATGTTATCTGCTTAAAATAAAATTGTCTTTTCCAATGTCAATAAATATTTTATTAAACAAACTTGAGCTGTGGACCTAGTAGTGTTTTCTTTTTTTTATATAAATTTCTGTTTCAATTACGATAAACATATTCCTTAGAAGTCATAAAATAATGAGTTTTCGAAATTATAAATAACTTAAATAATAAATACTTGTTAATGCATCGATGTAAAGTATTATAAAAATTGAATGTAACAATCCATATTTTGAGATATAAACTATTAGGCAAGATAAACTAATTTTATTCAAAATATCATTTTAATGCATTGTTAAAACTGTACCTAGTTTTAACAATGCATTAAAATAGTATCTTGAATAAAATTATACAACGTAGTCGAAAAAACGTTCCCATGAACGTACTTAGAAATTAAAACAAAGGTAAGACACCTTTGTTTTAATTTCTAACGCTTTTGCTTACGCGACTGAGATTGTTAATAATTCTGATTATGTTGCAATAGGACCGCCGTGAGACAAAACATGTAATATTAAGAGTCTATAATTTTTTGCCAACTAACGGTCACGCCCGTAAAGGCGAATGATAAGCAATACAAGGAAAAGATTATTTTGACCGGATTTAGAGACTACATACATAATAAGTAACATTCTACTAATTATGTAAATCGATGTGACAAGTGTTTGCGACATAAACACTTAAATAAATACGTGGTAATATTCTGCCTTTAATAGAATTTATTTAGATTTAGTAGGCTCTTATGTAAGGAAAGTGTTAGTAATGTAATACTCACACTACAATGTGATTTAAATAAGTATGTTGAAGCTCATTTACTTAAAAATAAGGATAATATTTTAATGGTATTGGCTTTTTACCTTTAAGGTTTATTGAGGTTTTAATTGAAAAATATAGTTTAAGTTTAAGAAATTAATAAAATTGTAAACACCTTATAATATTTTTGATAACTATATTTTTTAAAACTGTATTTTCATGTCTAGTGAATTAATAGTTATATATGAAAAATTTAAAAGTTATGCAGTTATGATAGGCGAACTAAAGGTATTTTAAAACAAAAACTTAGAGAATCAATACCATTACGCAAAGAATTTGATGATTGTTTAATAAATTTAAATAAAGATAAAAAATAATTTTTTTAAATTATATTTTATTTTTATTTTATTATGTTATAAATATGATATAGTATAAGAATTTTAATGTTTTAAATAATGTACACCTTTTTTCATTTTTCACACCAAGTTTTGTAACATTGAAAAAAATTGTAATTCTACTTTTTTCTTTCTTTTTGCCGATGAGCGTGTAGCTGTAGTGTGTGTGTGTAGTGTATGCTCATATAGGTATATATACGATAGTCTAGTAGACATTCACGGAGTATTAAATCTATATTCAAGACCACTAGACATATCATTTATTCACCGAACCTCCCAACATTACATTTTATATTAAATTTACATGGAGTGAGAAATAACCAAAATAAAAAAAACTAATGGAATCTCAAAATATTTCACTCCGTAGACCTCAGAAATCAAATTCTTTGTCTGATCTTATCATATGTACAACAACTTCAAATACTATTCTAGACACTCGAATAAGTAAATGAAGATTTAGCAACAGCTCACAACGAAATAGATAATTTACTAATAAAGAATAATCGTCTCAAGACACAATTAGCAAACTACATATAAATAGTAGACATGTACCTTTAAAAGAATTGGATATATTGAAAGTCCTTAGTTGTTATTCTTAACCAAAAAAGCCAAATGACAAAAATCATTGCTACAAAGTGAAGCAAAATAAATACTTTCTGATAATTTCTAGCAGGCTTATTCAAAGCACAAAGAAAAAAGTTAATAAAATAATAATAGGAAGTTAAATGACAATATTTTATAAAGAAACAACTACTTGTGAATCCCTAAACACAGAAAAATTAAACCCTGTACCCCTTATACTGCGTAAAGAAATAAACATAATTTAACAGTCTTCAGATACCAATGATATTGTTAAACCCCTAAGATAATAAAAATACGACAAATTTGTACACGCACACACACAGACGCACGCACGCACGCGCACACACACATAACACACACACACACACACACACACACACACACACACACACACACACACACACACACACACACACACACACACACACACACACACACACTGAAACCAGTTTATTATGTCTTTTAAAGATTCTTATTTCCTTGCCGGCAAAAATTAAAATGAATTTAAACAATACAACTATGTAATCTTAATCAAGAGGGGGGATAGAGCAATATCTTCTACATATAAGTTACTAAGTAACCTAGCTTCTCGTTTGTGAGGTGGCAGATTTCAGCCAGAAAAAAGGGTGCGTCTGTGGTCTGGCTGAATTCTGCCATTACTATACGGTCGTATTTTCCGACAAACACGTATGTTTATTTATCTTTTTTCACTTGTTCACTATTAACTTGGCTGTATGGTATAAATTAATACTAGCAATGTCTAAAGAAAGAGACTAAAATGTGGAGCTCACTTTTGTATACCCTCAGATTAGTTGGTTTAGAATGAAAGTTTTAAACGTTGTTTTGCTAAAAAATTTGTATGAGGAGCATTGGTTTTTTGATAAATCTGTTAAAATGTATACTGTTGATGTAATTAAATGCTTATTGTAATTAAACATTTGTTTAGTTTTATTTTTAGATAGCATAAATACAGTTAAAATATATAAATTAAAAAATAAATAATAATAATTATATAATAACAGAATTATTATATTATTGCAGTTGTATGATTTAAAGAAATAGGAATAAAAACTAATTCTAAGTAATACAGAAAGAAAATAAAACCTTAATTTAAAATAGAACCTGAGATATTATAGTTTCTATAAACTTAGGGCCAAAAATAACCCAAGTCTGTGATGTGGCTGAATTCAGCCACCACAGATATGTCAGTTTCCATTTTGATTTCCTCACAGATGAGAGTCTAGTTAAGAGACTCAGGATTCTACCCATTTCTAATTGTATAATATGTCAATAAAAGTATAAGATGATAAAGTCAATACATAATGAATTATTATATAATATTTATATTCTTGAAAACATCTTCAAGGAAATGTTTACCTTAACTCAGCGTAGTGATGTACATAAAAAAGGCGTTGAGTCGTATACCAGAGCTGGAGATTACTTTTAATAAAACTCATAAAACTGTGCTTTAGTTAGAAAGACGACTAGGCTAGTGCTAACCGTAATATGTTTATATAAATAGTTGCAAAAATATATCAAATATATTAAAAAGGCAGAAAAAACTAAATTTAAGCAAGAAATTCCTATGCAACAAATTTATTATCAGTTATATTTATGCAAGGGAAAAGAAGACGAGGAACATTTGTTTGAGTAATAAATAAATTATCAGTTAAAGAAAATTAATCGCTTACATCATGGATATATAAGCCACTGATAAACTCATTGACATTTTGTAATTATTTCAAGGATAGGTTTGAATCTTTGGCAAACAAGTACACAGCCATATTATTGTATATTCTCACCCTCATTAAAACAAATATGTTATGATTACGAATTGAAGTGAAATACTATATATTTACTCACCTCTAGAAAAAAATATTTTTATTATCGGATGGGATAGCACAGGGTTGAGGAATTTCAATGAACACCAAGCTACTTGTACCACGATAAGTTATGAGTACACAAATAAATTGCAAATCAAACTACAAAAGTAAATTTGGCAGAAATTTACATTCTTTAACCCTAGGTCGGTCGCGCTAGTTTTTGTAACTTCGTCGGTCGCATGGGGTCTTTGAAAGCCATGTTTTATTTTTATGTTTTTAATGTAATTACGTCGTATATTCTCATTTTTATTTATATATTAACAAGGTATTAAGGTGTATTTTAAAATAAAAGCATGATAATCCTTTTAATATTTATTACTTTACAACAGTCTTAATCACGCTAAAGAAAGACATTTTTGGGTCATTTTTGGCAACGTTAGCTTAAACTGATACAAAATCTATAATTATTATTTTTTATTTTTGAAATCAAGACAAGCTATCAAAACAAAGATTTATGTTAATAAAATCACAAAAAAAAAATAAAAATATTATAATAAATTAGTGAATTTTTACACCTCACTTCGCTGTTCCGAACAGCTTGAGCAAACTGAGGCTGCATGTCTCGGACATATGTTCTGGCGACATGAATAGCATACTGTAGAATATTTCCTATCAATGTGTCGCGGACAATATGCACATCTCTTTCTGGTCATTTGAGGCTGATTTTCAGATTGAATTTGCAGGATATCCGTACCAACGAAACGCTTTATGTGCTGCCGGAGCGTTCTGGGGAGGGTGTTTAGTGTGCTTCTGTATTTGATGTAATCATCAAAAAGTTGAAATGCTAATGTTTTGAGGTATTGTTTTCTGGGCGTGGTCCTATTTGGCTGATTACATGCTAATATTATCTGTGAATTGATTCCAGCAATATCCAACAGCGTAAAAAAAATTCTCAGAGGCCATCTGCAGCACATTCTTGCAACTGAATAGTTTTTTTTTCAGTCTGTCCACAACATCTACACCTCCTTTTGTGATGTTGTAAAACTCAATAATTTCAGGCTTTTTCCGAGCTGAGTTAGAGTTTACGACACTGTCATGGTGCATCGTTGACAACAGTAGAACGATTTTATTCTTTTTAGTACAGTAAGACACTAAACTGTTTTGATCTTTACCAAATGCAAAAAGTGACGAACACACTTCCCTATTTTTGGTTTTCAACTGATCAGGAATTTCAGGTTTATTTTTTCTAATGGTTCCGACAATAGTAAGTTTATGATCTTTTAGTAATTCTCTGGCTAAAGAGACACTAGTGAACCAATTATCCATGGTGACGTTGCGGTTCGTTCCTGAAATTGGTTCTATTAGTCTCTTCACCAGAGCATTTGTTGAAGTGTTTACAAACATTGGTCCTTCAGGTTGCTTTCCAACATAAATCTCCATATTGGATGTGTAATAATTCCGGGCATCTACCATAGCAAATATTTTTATTCCATATTTGTAAGGCTTCATCATCATCATCATCATCACAGCCCTTCACAAGTCCACTGCTGAACATAGGCCTCCCCCAAGTAATGCCACAAAGCACGGTCCTGAGCCACTTGCATCCATCGACTTCCTGCATATCTTACCAGGTCGTCACTCCATCTAGTGGGGGGTCGCCCTACACTACGCCTACCGGTACGAGGCTGCCACTCGAGAACCTTTCTTCCCCATCGGTTATCGGTTCTTCGAGCTATATGGCCGGCCCATTGCCACTTCAGCTTACTAATCCGTTGGGCTATGTCGGTCAATCTGGTTTTACTGCGGATATCCTCATTTCTGAGTCTATCACGCAGAGAAACTCCGAGCATAGCCCTCTCCATAGCTCGCTGAGCGACCTTGAGCGTCCTCATACGGCCAGCAGTGAAGGACCACGTCTCTGATCCGTAAGTCATCACTGGCAACACGCACTGGTTGTACACTTTAGTTTTCAGAGATTGAGGTATACCTGACGAGAAGATATGTCGTAATTTCCCGAACGCTACCCAGCCGAGTTGAATCCGTCGATTGACCTCTCGGTCGAAGTTGGACTTACCTAGTCGGACTATTTGTCCCAGGTAAACGTACTCGTCAACAACTTCGAGCATAGTGCTCCCAACAACTACCGGCATAGGTGTGACATGGACATTAAACATAATCTTTGTTTTGTCCATGTTCATCTTAAGACCTATCCGTTGGGAGGCACTATTGAGGTCATTGAGCATAGTGCTTAAGTCCTCCAGCGATTCTGCCATAAGGACTATATCGTCGGCAAATCGAAGGTGAGTGATGTACTCGCCATTGATGTTAATACCGTATCCTTTCCAGTCCAGTAGCTTGAAAACGTCTTCCAAAGCAGCGGTGAAGAGTTTCGGGGATATAACGTCACCCTGTCTTACACCTCTCTGCAGTTGGATAGGTTTCGAGCTCTGGTTCTGTACTCGAATAGCCATCGTAGCCCTACTGTACAAACACTTCAGCACTTCGATATACCGACAGTCAACTTGGCACCGCTGAAGGGACTGCAGCACCGCCCAAATTTCGACGGAATCAAAGGCTTTCTCATAGTCCACATACGCCAGGCAAAGTGGCAAATTGTACTCTTCAGTCTTCTGTACAATCTGCCGCAGGGTATGTATGTGGTCTATGGTACTGAAGCCTTTTCGGAAACCGGCTTGTTCGGGAGGCTGGAAGTCGTCGAGTCTGCGTGCGAGATGATTCGTAATGACTCTCGAAAACAGCACGTAGACGCGGCTCAGAAGGGGAAATCGGTCTGTAGTTCTTCAAGAGAGCGTTGTCGCCTTTCTTAAAGAACAAGACCACCGCACTTCTGCTCCACGCCTCTGGAGTAGTGCCACCATGGAGGACGGAATTGAAGAGCTTCTGAAGGACTTCAAGTACCGGTGTTCCACCCGCTTTCAGAAGCTCCGCTGTAATTCCATCCTCGCCTGGGGCCCTGCCGTTTTTAAGGTGCTGGAGAGCCATTCTAATCTCGCTTAGACTGACGTCCGGGATATCATCGGAATAGTGTCGGGTAAGACTTGCTCTTGGATCGTTACTCACACTTGCGTGTGGCTCCAACGATGATGTGTACAGCTGCCCATAGAACCTCTCAATCTCACTCAAAATCTCAGGTGTCCCGGAAACGATGCTGCCACACTCAGTCTTCAGTCTTGACAGTTGGCTCTTTCTGGCAGACAGATCTCTGGCAAAGACTTTGGAGCCCTGGTTCCGCTCGATCGCTTCTTTAATACGAGCAGTATTAAAGTTGCGTAAGTCTCGCCGCATGCATTTGGAGATCTGTCTGTTCAGTTGCCTGTATGCTGTCAAATCTGTTGACGATTGCAGCCTCATCTCCCGTCTAACAGCCATGAGATTAAGAGTGTGATCGGAGAGTTTTTGTGTTCTTCTGCGGCGGGTCTTGCAGAACTTAGCTCCGACCGCATGGACAGTTTCCACGAGCTTGTCATTCATATCGTCCACTGCATTGCAATCTTGTAGGCACTGAAAGCGGTTGTGTAACTCGAGCTGAAAGTTTTCGGGATTTTGGATCAGAGCACGAGGGGGGACGGAGCGTTGACTTCATTAGACGAGACCTCTCCAACTTAACGTTTAGGTTCAGTGTGCCTCTAACCATTCGGTGATCGCTGCCAGTTTTCACCCTTGCGATCACTGAGACATCACTGAACAGTTGGCGTCTGGTCGTCATAATGAAGTCAATCTCATTTTTTGTCGAACCGTCGGGGCTCGACCAGGTCCACTTCCTGTGGGGCCGCTTCTGGAAGAAAGAGTTCATCATAAAGAGTCCCTCTTTCTCCATAAAGTCGGCCAGCTGCTGGCCCCTTCGGTTCCGTTGCCCTACTCCAAATTTCCCTAACTTCAGCTCACCGTTTTCTCTTGTGCCTAGTTTTGCGTTGAAGTCTCCCATCAACACCGTGTAGTGGGTTTTGGAGGAATGTATGGCTTTGGAAATATCCTCATACATTTCCTCCACCTCCTCATCGGAATGTGCCGACGTTGGTGCGTAAACCTGTATGACCTTCAGCGAATACCGTTTGGTGATTCTGAATATCAGGTACGCGACCCTCGTCGACACACTCTCAATCTGTACAACGTTGTTGACGAGAGACTTGTGGACGATAAATCCGACACCTCCTTGGGACAGATGGTCGCCCTCCCGGTGATAGAACAAGTTGCCGGATTCGAGAATCACCGTGTCCTCCCCCTCTCTTCGGACCTCGGATAATCCTATAATACTCCAGCGCAACTTGTCTATCTCTTCTTCCAGCTCCAGGATCTTCTCGTCAGTCCTCAATGTGCGTGCGTTAAATGTTGCCAGGTCGAGTCGTCGTAGGTGGCAACCGAACCTCCACCGGAGATTCTTAGCACCCCCTGCCCCGCCGTTACCATGGTCGCCACCGTAGCCAGGAATAGCGGGGCCGCCGGGGACTGGGGGCCATCTATTTGTGTAATTGTTCATGGGGGGTATATTGCCATAGTTGCCACGCTTGGCGAGCGGGTTGGCAACCGCAGTTTTTTTTTGTCGTACAGTTGCTGTTATCAGGAAGATGCTGCTGCCCATCTCCTGCCTGTCTCCCTCTGTCGCCTCTTACGACACCCACGGGAAGATATGGGGTAGTGGATATTCTTAACCGCCACTACACGGTAAGGCTTATTAGGCAAATACTGCCTAAATGAACATCTTCCTCGAAAAGACTCCAGCATTTCGTCAATTGTGACATATTCACCAGTGCTGAAACTTTCTTTGCATTTCTGAACAAATTTTTCAAAGACAAACCTGATTGGTGCCAACTTATCAATTTGCAGTCTTTCTTGCCGTGTTACAATGCTGTCAAAACTTAAACAGCGCAAGAGAAATCTAAATCTCTGTAGCGACATTACCGCCCTCGCAATGTCTATACCTGTCCCATCCGCTGAGAAAACCTCTTCGATTTTTACATGGCAGGACTTCTGTGTACCAATAAGGTATAATAACCCTAGTAATGCTCTTATCTCCGGTATATTTGTCGGTTGCGCATCTCGTGACCTTCCATATTTATCCTGAAGAGTCTGAATTTTTTCATTAGTATATTGAACAATATTATTCAGTACATCTATGGGAAAAAATAAACTCCATGCCTCCAAAGGGGTGTTGCAATCACGACCTATATATCGTGGTCCCGGCAAATGCGATATTATATTATGCTGTCGGGTTCTAACTGAGGGATTGGGAGCAGTTTTCTTCCAGCGATATATCGTTTCAGTATTTCCATTGCGTAGTTTCCGACGAACAACATAATGGTTCGATGTTCTTAGTTTAGCGAGTGGAACATTATCTTCATCATCGTCCTCAGAATCTAGTTCTTCGGGCAGTTCAGGATCCGATGTACCGTCTTCCTCAGAACTTTCTTCAATAACATCAGGTCCATAATCAGAATTCTCACCATCTGATGTTTCATCGATCGGAACATCCACACTATCTTCGGACTCTTCTTCTAGCCATCGGACTATCTGTTGTTCTTTAAAATGTTCCATTTTCGGCTATATATAACATATATATGTGTCTTCCATCAAATAAGAAAAAGCTTACACGATCGGTCGCGTGGGGTCTTTCGAAGTCCGCGCGCAAAACAAACGTCTATCATGGACAAGCGCAGAGCGCTAACTGAGTGGTAATTGCACTATTTTTTACTTAAGTATTTTTTAGGAAGCTACTATAAAACATAAGTTTATACCTTAACTATTAACAAAAAAATGCCAGTTTTTCCAAACCCCGTGCTTTCAAAGACCCCATGCGACCGACCTAGGGTTAACATTGGCGTGAAAAGAAATAAATGAAACAATTATGAACTTTAAAGAATTCTTTTATTTGAACCTTGACCATTATAACTCGTTTGTTACGGCTTACGTCATCTTTTTATTAAGTTATACAATACAAATATGTAATAAAGTGGTGGAGGTTGGGAAATTAAACCATTGTTAATTGAAAATTCAAACGTTTATACTTCGATAAGCAACAAGTTGGAGTGTATATAATGTGGCAAAAGAAAAATAAACATCACTTGTGTTCTTAGTTACCTCCAAGAAAACTTTAATAAACAGTAAGTTGTTTCATTAAGCATTCATTTTGTACTACTTACTTCAAATATTAATTTTATAAATTTGCAATTATTTAAATAAAAAAAAACTATTATTTGTAACTTGTGTAGAACGTAGGTTTTCTATCAGCTATTTATATATGAGGTATTTTTGACTAAATATTAATTAAATTTTTATGTGTCAACCGTGTTATGTGCCTCGCATTAGTAAAATGCGACTAATGTGCCCTGCTTTTAAAAGCGCGCATTATTTTTTCTATATTATGTAATTTAAATTACCAAAAAAATTTGTTATGGCTTATCAAAAATCATAATATATATCAGCAAAGTCATGAAAAAAGTTTTTCTAATATTATATCTCAAATATTTTTACGTTCATTTATAGATAGAGCTTTCTATTTTCCTACTGTCTGAGGCTCTTCTTTTGCACATACTTTTTTAAATAAATGTGTATTATCAATTGCTAATCAGTTCTCTTCCAAAATGTTATTATACCTATGATTTCGTTTTTCATTTTCTGTATAATTTTTGGTCTTTTCTCTTTCATAAATTCCCACATCCTCTTTATATAGTAAATTCTGAGCTTCCTGAAAATTCTTCATTCTAGTCTACATATAGAAATTTCTGCATCCATCGTCTATCATCCTATCACTGTCAGAAGAGTCAAGGGAGAAGTATTTTCCTATTCTGGTAGTTCTTTATGATTACCTTTCTAATTAAATTTAAATTGATATTTTGTTATTATTTCATTACATTGAAAATTATTTTTATTTCTCCATAGCCTGAATATTTAATAAGCATAGAAAGATGTTGGTTAAATTCTGGTGATCGTATGTATATACCGCCATATAACTTCGCCGTTAGCATTTAGTGGCTATGTTAATATTATTCAATAAAATATTTTTATTAGTATTTTTAAATTAAATGTATACGTACCTATATTCAAACATACTTTATGTTTGGATATAGGCACTTTGTTTTAGACTCGTACAATTAAAACTTTATTTATCCATAAAATGCGACAAATTAATACAAACATTATTCTAGATTTTTCTCACTATTTTGTTGTTGTATATATCCTAATATCCAAATTAATAAATAATATTATATTTTTATATTCAAAGTAAACACAATATATAAAACTAATATATATACACACACACACATATATATATATATATATATATATATATATATATATATATATTAAAGACGTAACGTAATTCTACATTAGTATTATAATTAAAATAGGATTTTTACGTTAATTTGTAAACATATTATCTCTCTCTTCTTATCTTATCTCGAAAAGCACTACTAGCACTGCGCCATTTCTGAAAAATTACAAGAAAAAATAAATGTAAAAATATATTTGTTAAGAAACAGTTTGTAGAGTATAATTTTGTTGCATCTCATAAAAGATTATAGAAACCAATTACAAAATCTTCAAATTAAATTAAATCTTCGAGTTAATTTGCTTTCTCAAATATATCGAGTGAGACGTTCCTTTAAAATTCATAATGATGTCTTATACGTATTTAATAGACTCATTTTACATGTTTTCATGCCTTCAATTAATATTATGTCTTAGTTTCTCGAATTCAATTAAAAATATCATTTTTTTAATTTTAATAAAAAAATTATTAAGAATAAAATAGGATAACCCTTTATTTACTATGTGAGACTAACTCTGGAACTTCCATCGTAATCTGTCGAAAGAAAAAAGCATACAGTTGATTTATGAACCTCCTTCTCCTTTTTGAAGTTTATTAAAAAGTAAAATCACTTTATGAAATGATACATAGCGGTGGGTCACTACTGCTTGGCAATTGGAATCACACAAACTAGGCAACATATATTGTACTTATTGTTAAGTCCATATTTATTTAGTTTTATTTGTACGTTATCCTTTAATTTAACTATCTTTTATTTTAGATCTTCTGCTAACATGATATCTATAGTTTGTATTTTGGTCATTTGTGGACTTTATTTGTTGAAATTATATTCGAAATCTAGACATGAACCGCCGCTTCTAGCTAGTGGTCTTCCTATATTAGGACATGCACATCTAATATTTGGGGGTGGTTTACGTAAGTAATTTTTGAATTTACTGAATTCTTGTTAAAATTATTAAGAAACAAACAAATCCATAAATTAAGAAAATTGTAGCTAATCTACAAGTGGAAGGTAAACAAGTTCGTAGAATGAAGGAATACTAATATTCTCGATAATACTAACAACTAGACACTCTATAGGTGCATATATATCGTTTTATATTTATAAGTTACGGCTAAAAGAAAAGATCAGCAGCAAATAAGTTTAGTTTATGTGTATTCGATTGGTTGAGTTTGCTTAAAATATTTGTATGGCTTGTTTTCAAACAAAATAAATAAAGTCTGTACATCAGCAATAGCAGGTAATTTTAGGATTTCTGTTAAATTTGTCAATAATACAAAACCAGATTTAGATATAGAAGAAGGGTGTCGAACGATCACACAGTCCACTTTACGTCAAGCTAATGCTGTGGCCCATCGATATCTACATGTTTCATCAATCAAAATGTAGATGCGTTGTTACCCTCGATGACTAAGATGGAATACTCGTTTCCAGTCAATAGTGTGTTTGGTTTTCTACACCCAACAAAAAAAAACGGCAACATTAAACTCGACCCATTCCTGCTGCAATCAAGTAATGATACCGACAATAGGATAAAGTGCGATTGTCCCCGTCCGTACGAATATCCGCGGCTCTTGAGTGATCCAAGGTAAATCAGAGGGTATTTTTATTATTTATAAATTATTCATAATGATCTTAATTGTAATGCTTAATTACAAATTCTACGGGGTATTCAAATGTTTGGTGAGTTGATGTACAGTAGTGCTGGCAGTGGCCCAATGAAGCACATTCGAATGTGTGCCAGTTCTAGTTTTGGAAGTACGAAGTACCTTAAGTAGGCCTGCAGACTCGGAAACTATATCGAATAAAAAATTTATTTTCAAAATAAAGCTTGCAGATTTAGTTTAAATAACAATCTATACAGTGATTCTTATAGAAATTAAGTGGCATCGACACTAAGCCGTTAATGGTTGTATTTCCCATAACTGATAGTATATTAGTATAATTCTAGATCTCATAGTGATACCGGCCTTTTTAAGGAAAATTCATATAGCCGCCACACCGAGAAAAAGACGGACTTAATCGGATTCGCACCGACTATAACTCTATGGTGTTCCACCCTTACCATATATAGGGGCCACATGAATGTATCGCACACATCCACAGTCCCATTAGTGCCATCGAGTAAATAAAAGCATCCAACAAAAAATAAGTGAAAGGAAATGAGCGCCATCTGTTACGTGTTTATAAAGTATTTTAATGTAACGTATAAAATAAGTATATCACTTTATATTTTGTACAAAGAATAAGAGTGAAAACCACCTAATGGTAAATGAATACTGTGGCTCGTAGATCTAACAGGAAAAATTACACTTATGTCTTCATTCTGCGTTTAAACACTATGTTATCAAAACTAATGATTTCTTATATTTACGCGAACACTACACATTGATTGAAACTACTTATACGGATTTTATTGCGTTTTATTTATTTTATTTTTAATACCCGACGTTTCGGGTGCTTTCCAGCACCCATGGTCACGGTGGACTGAGGTGACTGATGTCCCGATGTCAAAGTTAACACGGAGAACCTTAACCTTTATTAATTATTGTCTTTGGTCCGATCTACACAGAATGAACTAACTGTGTTTTGAAGTCTTCCAGTGCTATGCTTGGGTTTAGTTTTAATTTTATTAATTATAGGGTCCCAAGCAGGTGGTAGTACCCAGCCTCCTTCTCTATTGAAATTAGGATGTTTTTTAATTTCAATAGCCTCACGTATCATCCTTGGTAGGAATCGATGTTCTTTCGCGAGGATTTGTGGTCTATCAAATCTGATGTAATGGTTGGGGCCATCTAGGATATGATCGCAAACTGCAGACTTCCCGGAACGTTGATGCTTCACCTCAGCTATGTGTTCTTTTACGCGGGTTCTAATTGAACTCTTTGTTTGCCCTATATATGAGAGACCACAATCACAATCAAGCTTGTACATTCCTGCATCTTGTAGAGGAAAGTCCAGTGTCATATTCCTCCCCCAACCATTACATCAGATTTGATAGACCACAAATCCTCGCAAAAGAACATCGATTCCTACCAAGGATGATAGGTAAGGCTATTGAAATTAAAAAAACATCCTAATTTCAACAGAGAAGGAGGCTGGGTACTACCACCTGCTTGGGACCCTATAATTATAAAATAAAATAAATAAATAAAATAGCCTTTATTTCTACTACAATACAAACTCGACTTATGATTAATCTAAGTAATAATAGTATAGAATAGTTAATATGTATTTTTTACGTATAATTATGTATGTATATATATGTCTCAGTTAATATTAGTAGTAGTCGCCTCTGTGGCGTGGGCCTCTTCTAAACCTTTCTATATCTCTTTCCCGAGCCACTCGCATCCATAGGGGTCCACATCTCTGATTAAAAATATCTCTCCAACTTTTTACTAGGTCTCCCTTTTTTTCTTTTTCTGTCTTTTGGTATCCATTCTGTTAAACGTTTGGTCCATCTTTTATCATTCATTCTACAGATGTGTCCTGCCCAGTACCATTTCAGTAGTCTTGTTCTTTTCTTACATCTATTATTTTTCTTTTTTTCCTGATGTGGACGTTGTTAACCTTATCTGATATTTTTAGACCAAGCATGCTTCTTTCCATTTTACGTTGACATATAGCAATTTTTTCTTCGTCTTCTTTTCTCAATGACCATGTCTGACAGCCATATGTCAGGCATGGCAATATCGCTACTTCGTAGAGTTTTTTCTTTATATTTATACTAATATCTTTATTTTTATGATAGGGATATAGAACGACGAGTAAATGCAGGGAATAGAGTGAATGGGGCACTACACTCTATTATGAAGAACCAGAATGTGTCAAAAAAGGCACGTATGATAATTCATAACGCTGTGTTAATCCCTACATTAATGTATGGTAGTGAAAGCTGAGTGAGGCAGAAGAAGTACGAAAGTAGAATAAATGCTGTAGAAATGCGGTCTTTAAGGAATATGCTAGGGTTGAATCTGAATGACAGGGTTAGAATATACGTGATAAGAGATAAATGTGGTATGCAAGATGATGTTGTGACCAGGATTAAGAAAGGAATGCTTCGGTGGTTTGGTCATGTAGAAAGAATGAATGAGGAAAGAGTGACAAAGCAAATTTATATGGCAGATGTGAACGGCCGAGTCGGGAAGGGACGCCCTAGAAAAATTTTTATCGATATTTTGAAAATGGGCCACGTTAGAAATACCCTTAACCGACGAGCATGTATGTGTAGATATATGGATGTAAAGGAGGCAAAAGAGGTATATCAGGATCGTGCCAAATGGAAGTCTGTAGTCTCTGCCTACCCCTCTGGGTGACAGGCGTGAGTGTTTTATGTTATGTTTTTATGTTTATATCTTTATTTTTCATTATTTCTCTCAATCCCCAATATTTCTTCCAGGCTAGAGTTATCCTTCTTTCTATTTCTTTTACTGTACTGTTTACGAATGACACTGGCTGTCCTAAATATACATAATCCTTTACATATTTAATTTTTTCATTTGCTATTCTAATGTCCTGAGGTAGTCCGTTGGTTAAAACCTTGGTTTTCATCGTGTTCATTGACAATCCCACCTTTTTACTTTCCATTGCTAGTTCGAACACCATATTCTCCAATTCAGTAGCGCTTTCTGCGAAGACCACTATGTCGTCCGCGAAACGCAAATGGTTCAGTAGTTCTTCGTCTACCTGTATTCCCTTCGTTTCCCAATTTAGACGTCTGAAAATAGATTCGAGCAACGCTGAAAATAACATCGGGGGAGAGAGGTCTCCCTGCCTTACTCCTTTTTGTATAGGAAATTCTTAATTTCCTGTTCTAGGCGCACTTTGGCGAAACATTTTGTATATATACTCTTGATTATATTAATATATTTCTGATTGACACCTTGTTGTATAAGTAATGTCCATATAGCTTCGAATTGTAAGTAATCGAATGCTTTTGTGTAGTCTATAAAACACATATATAACGTCTTCCCATATTCCTTTGCTTTTTCATTAAGTTGGGTTATAACTTGTATGTGATCTACAGTCGACTAACTTTTGCGAAAACCTTCCTGTTCCCGCGGTTGGTTATCATCTAGACTCTTTGTTATCCTATTTAACCCTTAACCACCTGCCATACGTCTCACAGATCTTGTGGAATTTATAATCGTAAATATTGTTGCGCCCGAGTCGCGTACGAACATGTCGGTTCATGTACCTTTTCCCTTCCCTCTTCAGTACCGCGCAACGGCTCGTCGAGGTTAGACGCACGTTCGTTTATCTCTGGCGAGTAAAAAAACTTTCGTTTGGGGGCTCGGAGAACTCTGATAGGTGGTTGTGTGATTTTTTTATACGGGTATTTTTTTTTGTTTAGGAAAAAATGAGTTCTAACGACTTAAATATTGAGCGGTGGTTAGAAGAAGATCTATCAGATGAAGAAAACATACCAAACGAAGAATGTAGCGACTTGGATTGTGACGTAGACTTGAATCATGTGTTAGAAGAAAGTTATGGATCAGATTCCAAATATGAAGAGACAGCTGAGAGGGAAAATTCTTTGTGTCAAAATTCTTTATCATCGATTCCAACAGATGATGAGCCTCTATCACAAATGCGATTGCGGCCAAGGAAATAGAACTTTTTCGGAAAAAATCGCTTTCGATGGTCTTCCGTACCGCCTTCCTCTCGATCGCGAACGTTGTTACATCTTAATATTGTGCAAGAACCATCTGGAGTAAGGTCAAAATATCAGAGTAAGCTAAATGCATCATCTCCGCTAGATATTTGGCAAAACTTGTTTACGGACGAAATGCTTGAAAAAATTGTTGTAAACACTAACGTGAAGATAAATGAAATAAGGCCGAACTATCAAAATAAAACCTGTGTTCAACATTTAGACCTCATTGAATTGAAGGCTTTTATTGGATTCCTGTTTTATACGGCAATTTTCAAAGTAAACCACGAGGACTACACGTAATGGTATTCTACGGACGGCACTGGTCGGGAAATTTACCCCCTGCATTATGAGTAAAAATAGGCTTGAAGTATTACTAAATTCAATACGTTTTGACAATGCAGCGACCAGACAGGGCCGACATGAAGTTGATGCAGCTGCACCTATAACTGACCTCTTTGATTCCTTTATTTCCCGTTGCCAGGCTATTTATGCAATCGGCAGTTATGCATTTATTGATCAGATGTTGGTTGCGTTCCAGGGACGATGCAGGTTTAAAGTATTTGGTGGGTTTGGCGTTTTGGTTTTAACCACCAAACTGCTGGTTCAAATGTATTAAAGAGAATTTAAGATACACTCGATCTGACAGAGAGTAGTAAGCATTTCTTCATACGTGAGGATTTGCTTACCTATTACGCGAAACAAATGGATTTTTACAACCTTAATATTGGACTCCCACAAACCCACGAAATGTGGAGCGCTTGGAGGGTTGAGTTTCCAAACAATGCGATTATCAGTGAGCACCTGACTGAATGCCTTATAATATTCTTCTGATTTTAAAAATCTATGTAATTCATGTAAATATGAACGCGAGGCGACAAAATTAGTACCGTTATCGCTGCATATAAATCGACACGGACCTCTACGAGAGATAAATCTCTTAAAAGCGTCTAAAAAACTTGCCGAACTTAGATCAGACGCTAATTCTAAATGCACGCCTTAGTAACGAGGCATATAAATAAACATAAATAAGCCTTCTGGCTTCGTATACCACGTTTACGCGTCAATGTGATATAAAGTGGGCCAGAAAAATCCGCACCTGTGTGTGTAAACGCATTACACTGCTCTAGGCGGCAAGCAGGCAAGGCAGACATCATGGGGTAAATAGGTTTGGGTTTATGTCGAAAACAAATGTTACACCCATGAATACGGTATCTCACTACACGGCGAGCTGATAATATCCAATATTTCTCCCGTAATGCAGCAAGTAAATACTGAGGACCAGCGTGGAAATGTTTATAGTGATAATAATCAATTATAAGATCAACAATATGCCCCTTTTTTGGTAGCAATATTGGGTGCTTTTGGGAATCCGATAAAGACGAATAATCTAACCGACCACCTACTCGAAGTACATCGTCCGTGATAAATGGCGATAACCTTCGTAATGTGGATGAGCATAGTTGTCCTTTTTTAATATTTTTTATGTCTTCGGCAAAAGCGATGCCTTGCACAATTTTAATAACTGTGATTTCAGAAATCTCTATGTCGGATGCTGTTATAATTTTATTTATGCGCGGTAGTTTTTTTAAAAACCTTAAAACGTAAACAACGGATCGTAAATACTTATTCCAATCAGAAAATTTTTAGCTTAACGAGATAAATGGGTGTTCTTCCATGTCATCATGACTCCAAGCGACACAGTCTTTTCTTCTGGTAAACTAATATGAGTTGATGCGAACCTTTGTACAGGCCATTCTTTACACGGCAAGGAAACCCACGAAGGCCCATGTAACCAAAGGTCACAATTTAAAATTTGTGAGGGTAACAGTCCACGTGAAATATGATCTGCAGGATTTTCCGAGCCGGCGATGTGGTAAAAGTTATCCGATAATAGATAGGACTGTATTTGCGAAATACGGTTAGCAACAAAGTTGTTGAACTTATGCGGTGAAGAACACGCCCAGCAGCGCGCGACGCCACGAATCTGAAAACGCATAAATGTTGTCGATCGGATGCCTCAATGACAACGAATCGTAAACGGTGCGTACTAACTTAGCGAGCAAAACCAAGGCACACAACTCAAGCCTGGCTAAAGTTATAACCTTTAATGGGGACACCCGAGATTTAGAACATAGGAGCGTTATAATTGGAGGATTATTTCCGTTAACAACATGCGAATAGATGACACACCCGTAAGCTTTTTAACTAGCGTCAGCGAAGGCTAGTAGCGATACATGGGATTTTTCATTTACGCCGATATGACGTGGAATCTGTAAATGTGAGATTAAAGGTAATTCTGAAATATATCGCTGCCATGTATTGACAATATTAGTGGGTGGAGTCTCATCCCAGTTAAGTTTAAGAACCCACAAGGCTTTAATTAATAATTTGGCGTAAAGTATTACTGGACCGACAAGTCCTAAAACATCGTACAAGCGAGCGGTTACGGAGAGGATAGCGCGTTTGGTACAAGTGACCGGTGGCGGCGAAACAAGAAAGGAAAACTTATCGGTAGCGGGATACCAACGAAGGCCTAAAATTTTTAAAATGTCATTATCATCAAATGATACCGAGTCTTGTTGACGATGTGCCGCTGGTATACGTTGTAAAAGCTCCTTGCAGCTACTTGTCCACTTAACCAAATCGAATCCACCTCGGCGAAACATTTGGATAAGTTGAGTGGCGGTGTTGACTGCGTTGTTGACGCAAGGCGCGGAGGAAACGAGGTCATCCATATAAATATCCCTTTCTACTACAGAAGCAGCAAGGGGATAGGAGTTCCTTTCGTCAGCGGCTAACTGGCGTAAAGTGCGAAGTGCGAGGAAAGGGGAAGAGCGTAATCCGAATGTGACGCGATTAAATTCATATGTTCGTATAGTTTCTTCTGTAGAAAACCAATATAAAATGCGTTGAAAAGCGCGATGGGATTTTTGGATATCGATACACAAGTACATTTGCCTAACATCTGCAAAGAAAGCGATGCGATAAACTCTAACGTTTAATAAAATATTAAAAATGTCTGTTTGTAAATTTTGCCCCGTGTGCAAAATGTCATTCAAAGAAATATCGTTATCCGACTTAGCACTAGCGTCTAAAACGATGCGCAACTTCGTTGTACTTTTATCATTCCGTACGACAGGGTGATGCGGCAAATAAAAAGAAGGCTGTATACAATCATTATCAGAAACAGCGGATAAAATACCCTTATTAATGTATTCCCGTATAACAACATTGTATTGATCGCGAAGATCGGGATATTTGTTAAAGCGTTTTTCTAAGAGTAAGAGGCGTTTTTTGCGTTCATTAAAGAGTCACCCAATATGTCGGGCCTTTTCTTAAATGGCAGGGCGACCACATACCGTCCGTCGTTTTGGCGGTAAGTAGTAGAAGTATAAATGTCTTCACATTCCTGCTCATCACGGCTCAAATATATTTTTTGCGGAAGTTCTTCAATTTTCCAAAATTTTTCCATTATATCATTAAGACAATTTTGATTTAAATTTGTATCGTAAGAACAGGAAACAAACTAACGCGGGGAATGATGTGATATAGCGACTTCAGCATCACCCATAATAAAATATCCGAGTGATGTTGCTATGGCACTAGGCCATTGCGAATGAATTAAGTTTTCAGGCGACAAAAGTTTTATGTAGGTATTAACCCCCAATAAAATATCTATAGACCCAGGTTGATAAAACTGATCATCTGCTAAGCGTATTTTATCTAAATAGCGAATTTTTGAAACATCTACTATCGAATCTGGCAACTGACCCGTGATGGTCGGAACAACTAATGGTTCAATATGATAAAATTTGTTATCATTAAAACGAGACGTGAACTGCAGTGAAGTGACACCTAAAATCTTTTGGGACACACCACCGATCCCGTGTACTTCGGTAAAACGATTTTTATTCGAAACGGAAAGAAATAAGCGTTTACAACAATTCTTCGTAATATAGTCGCTTTGGGATCCGGGGTCAACTAAACACCGAATAAAATGTTCATTGTCGTATTTATCTACGACCTTTATTTTTGCAGTCCCCAATAAAGTAGTATAGCGCGGGAGAGTACTATAATCGCGAGAAATATTACATGAAGAGGTAAATGTTTTTTTCATCTTCCGCCGTATTCGAATTGTGAGCGACAGAAAAATTAACCTTATTATCGTTAACTGCGCGGTAGTTAATCGAATGCGAGCTGCATGCATTAGCGTTAGGCGTCTGCACAATCTCTGAGTGTAACGTATTGCTACTACGAAAAGCAGTCTTAGAACCATTCTGATGCGGGTCAGAATGAATTAAAGAATGGTGGCGCCGCGCGCAGTATATACACTTACGCTTCGATTTACAAAAAGAAGTCGAGTGTTTATTACTTAAACAATTAATACAACAATTGTTTTGTTTAATAATATCGTAACGTTGTTGTGTATTTAATTTTAAAAAGCGTGGACAAACATACAAGTGTTCATGATCATTTGATTTACAAAAGATACATGAATGCGAAGTATCTGTATTAATAAATGTTTTACTAAATTTATTTGAAAGTGATTTGTTTCGATTATTATTGGATGTAGATAAAGTATGCGAATTATTAAATGTATGGCATATAGCCCTATTCTGTTCGTATAAAAATTGTACTAAAGAGGCGTAGTTTGGTATGCTAATTGTGCGACAAGACATTTCAAATGACTTAACAGTGTCATGATCTAATTTTCTAAGTGCAATATTTAAAAACAAAAAATCAGCTAAGTCCTCAATTTTTAATTGCTTTAGAGCATTAATTGAAGCATCAAATTTGTCCATAAATTTATGATAACCTCCTGTTGTGTTTGCGTTCACCTGTGTTAAATCCAATAGTTGGTTAATATACGTAGATGCGAGTGTGCGTTCGTCATTATATCTTCCTAAAAGCGCATTCCAAATAATGGAATAATTTTCTGCGGTAAGGGCTAACTCGGCACAAACTGATAACGCCCTGTCACTCAATTTATTAACCAAATAATAAACACGTTCGGCGTCAGTTAATTGTAAATTGTCGTGAATTAATGTCTTAAATTGTTGATAAAACATGGACCACTGGCGTATGTCTCCGTTAAATGACATTAATTCAATTGGCGGAAGTGAAGTTTTTAATTTAGTAGGAAATCTATTTTCTAACGTGACAGTGGAAGGCGATGTGGATATTTTCGTAATTTGGCACTTAATACGACTATATAAATCTTCAAATGAGTTCCAAGCCTCGTAATCAACGTCTGCATTAGGGTTTAATTTTAAATGTTTAGTATTATAGTTATCTAGAACTTCTTGAAACTCACTACGTAATTGTTCTATATTCGAAGCGATGCTAAGAAATAAATTCTGCTCATCCAAGGAATTAAATGCGCCCTTTGAGGTCTCGTAATTTTTTTTAATCATTCGTAAATATACGTTTAGCGATAATAATTTTTAACTAACTTCTTCATCCGAAACCAGTTTAGATTCTTTGCTTCTCGTCGTCATTTTCAACAAACAAATGCGGACTAAAATGATTGAAGTAGGTAAATAACGGAACGAAACAATCTCGCGTTACTAGAAAGATGGCGGTTAATCAACAAGAAATATATCATTAATGGAAAATGAAGCGGTGTGGTATGCGTTACAAAGGTATTATAATACGTGTACTAAGCGATGCGGGACAAATATAAATTGTAGTTAGTATAATTAGAACTACAATTTATTATGATTTAATAATATATACGTATATATTTTTTGTAATATATAAAAAAATTAATTTACTTCTCCGGGCCGAAAGGTTAATTTAATCCCGGCCGAAGTGACCAAAAAAATTGTGGTGGTTTGGCGTTTTGGTTTTAAAGACCAAACTGCTGGTTCAAATGTAAGTATTAAATAATTTTATGCGGTGCGGCTATTAATTTAAATACAGTAGTGGACTGTATATGAGCGCGGTGCGAGCGGTGAATGGAATTTAATTTATTCGTGATACTGCAAATGCCCTAAATTCGGGATATAGGAAGGACGTGAAGGAATGCATGTGCACCCACCTGGACTTCCGCTGATCTGCCTCGTGTCTCGATGGCTGCCGGCTTTCTTCACACTTATCAACTTCACAGATAATCTTCGCAGATAATCACGAAATATAGCGTTATTGCAAATGTCTATACTTTTTACTATATGCTTGTATAATTCAATATCCAAATTACACAAGGGCGGGAGCGATGATGCGAGATATAAGCGATGCGGTTGGTTGCGTGTCTTCTCAACTTGTGTGAGCCCGTTAACACGAATGCACATGCTGGGCATAAAGGGCGGTAGATAGGAAACCGGAAATGGGCTTTACAGTAATCTTATTGGATAATAATTAACGAATCCCTTGTAAGCGTTAAGCGATAGTGTAAAGTGGCGCGAACAGTATTCATTCCAAAGAAGCCAGCTAAGTACGGGATAAAAATTCAATGTCTTACAGATGCAAGATCTAGCTACTTACTCAATGCCTATTTATACAAAGGCAAAGATTCTGACTGACTTAACTTACCAGCTGAATGTCAGCAACTAAAGAAACCAACTAAAGCGGTTATGCGTCTCATTCCTCCAATTGCAGGTTCCAACAGAAATGTTACAACTGATAATTGGTATAATTCCATTGAGCTCTTAGACTCACTAAAAAAGAAACAGTTTACGGGCGTGGTTACACTTCCAAAAAATCAGAGAGAAATCCCTCCAGAATTTTTGCCTTCTCGCCACCGAAACATCGATTATACACTTTTTGGATTTACAAAAGATTTTACTATTTCATCGTATGTTCCAAAACAAAATAAAGCAGTAATTACAATTTCAAGTATGCACCACAAGCCAGATATTGATGAATCTACTCAAAAGCCAGAAATCATACTTTTCTACAACTCTACGAAATACGGAGTGGATCTTCTAGACCAGAAATGTTCGAATTATTCTACTGCCCGTCGAACTCGCAGATGGCCCTTGGCAGTATTTTATCGACTTCTTGATATTTCAGCTTCAAACTGCTACGTCGTGATCTTACCAGTCCAACCCTACTGAATTGAAGATTGAAAGCAGATTCAAGTTTATGAAGAAACTAGCTGAACAACTAACGAGACCGCATATGAACCGTTGTGTCAATAACATGAAACTGCAACGTGATCTAAGAAACGCTATTGGGCGCGTTCTCACGCGAAACGAGATTGCCACTCCTAGAGTTTCAAGTGGTAGCAATGCTGAAGAAAGGCTGGCAGTTCGCAAGAATTGTACAACTTGTGATTACACAAAAAAAACGCAAAACACAATACATGTATTTTGAATGTAAATCACCAATTCGCCTTGAGTTCTCTAATAAGATGTGTTTTCGCTGCCGTGAAAAACTATAATTTCAGGGTCTGCAATTTTGTGGAAATGTTAACTTTTTAAACTGATTTTTTTGTTTAATTTGATGATTATTTAGTAATTAGAAAAGAGCATTACTAGTTTCCTATAAAATGTGATTATTTTTGGAGATCTCATTTACCAAATATGTTAGTTTATAAGCAAGTAATAAGAGATGTTGATTGATTATAAAAGACATTATTTAAAACTTAAGTTATTTTGTGCTGTTCATGTTGTAATAAAGAATTTAAGAAATATTGAAACGAATTATAATTAAAAAATAAACCTTCCACACATTTATTTTAAAACTTTAGATTAATTTAAGACCTGGGTCCCACAGACGTATGACAGGTGATAGTGTAACAAAAATATACGCAAGGGTTAATATGATCTTTGAAAAAATTTTATATAAATTTGACATGAGACTGATTGGTCTATAGTTCCCTAGATCACTTCTATCTCCTTTTTTGAACAGTAATATGATTGTAGATTTTAACCATTGATCTGGTGTGTTTTCCGTTTTAAGTATGTTATTGAACAATGTTTGAAGGTTCCAAAAGTGTAGCGATTAGCGCTTTAAGAACTTCGTTAGCTATATTGTCACTTCCTGGAGACTTGACGCTTTTTGAGATTTTATTGCGTGTTCGATTTCTGATCTGAGAATGATTGGTGTTTCTGTGTTTGCATTCACTGTATTATAATCGTCTGTTTTTTCACTTAAGAAGGAGCAACTACTATCTGTGATAGTATAGAGATTTTTATAGAATTGTGTGGCTTCGTTTATGATATCAGAACGTCGTGATTGCATAATTCCTTGTTTGTTTTTCAGTTTTCCTGTCCACTCTGACTTGTCACTCAACGCTTTATAAGCTTTACGTAGATCCCCTGTCTTACCTATGAATTTTTCGAATGTTCTTTGTCGTATTCTTCTTTTTTGTTAGGTAATACTAATTTCTGTTAATTTTTTTGCTTATTCTTGTTATTTCACATTTTAATTCTTTTGTTCTTTTCTTCTTGTATAACTCTTTTCTCTGTTCTAAGAGATCTTTTGTTTCTTCATTTATATATTTGTTTACATTGTTTTTTTTCCGTGGCAGCTGTTTCAAAAACTCTTGCAACTCATGTTTTAACTTATCATATTGTTTTTAGACCCCTGTTTGTGTACTAACCGCTTCTATAAATTTATTAGTAGTTAGCGTTGTCTTCTGAAATATCTATTGATTCTCTAGTGTAGATGGCAGAGTTTAGTTTCATTCTTTTTGGTTTTGAGGTCAATAATATTTCACATCTAATCATCCTGTGATCAGAATTGAAGTTTAAGTTTTTTATTATATCGAAATTCTTTATACTGGTCGGTTGATTTGTTAATATGTAGTCATTTTCGTTAAAATGTTGACTATTTGGGGATCGCCATGCTCATTTTTTGTGTGGTTTGCATAGGAACATACTGTGTAGTCTCTGGCCGTGTGGGCTTCTTTTTCCATGTGAGTATTGTCCAATATTCTTTCCTTTGTTTTTTTGAGCTTTCCCAATTTTTGCATTGAAATCACCAAGTAAAATTATATTTTTTGTGTGAATAGAGTCTAAGGCAGATTGCATTGTTGTATAAAATTGCTCTATGTCTTCTTTAGTGCATTGCTCTGTGGGGGCATATGATTGGACGAGTGACCAGGTAGAGTTATCAGATCTTTGTATTTCAAGTAACGCTACCCGATCCGAGAAACTTTTTATATTCACTATATTATTCTTTAATTATTTTTTAATCAAGAATCCCACTCCATTTCTTCCGTTCGTCCTAAATGTATGAAATAAGATAAAATCGGTGTGTTCCTCCATTGCTTCTTTTTCTCTTCTTGTTTCACATAAACCTATAATGTCCCATTTTATTGACATAACAGCGTATTTTATAATTCATCTTCCATTAATACTTGCTATATAGAGATTTTGTGGATTTTGTTTTTTGTTTATATTTTTGTTTCTAATCTTGTTTGATTGTTTTTTATTGTGATTTAGGAGGTGGTGGTCTGACTCCTCCACGGTGACCAGCCGGCTTGGGGGAGGTAGAGAGGTTGAAGAGGCGCTAATTAATTTTTTGAAAGATCTTCCACATTTTCAGTTGGTATTGCCCGATTGTTGAGATTCAGCTGCGATGGGCGTAGGAAAGTGGTTATGGTATGTGGCTTATTTTTTTTTGGTACTTGTTTTTGACTTTTCGTGGTCTTATTCTTTTGCAGTTTCTTTCTCTGGTTCTTCAGGTGACTTAGAGATAAAAAGTTTCTTTATCTTTATGTTTCTTTCTGTGTGTGTATGTACTTCAGATTCATGTGGTTTTAGTGTCACAATTTTGTCGTAGTGTAAAGCCACTCTTTTTCCTGACTCTCTTTCGCGTTTAAGGTCTTCTTGTAACTCTTTCAGCTTTTGTAAGACGCTAGATGTAAAATATTCTTTCAGGTAAATATTTGTTCCCTCTAGCGATTTTTTCTTTTTAAATATCTCTATTCTCCTGCTTGTTGTTGTTATTGTGACAAACACTGGTCTGCCTTTTTCTGATTTTTTTTCCTTCCTATTAACGTGTTCAATTTCCAATTTATGGCAAGGTATTTTCATCGTGTTATTAATGATATCTAAAACAATGGAGAGTAAATTTTCATACCCCTTTTCTTTTTCTTCGATCCCAAAAAATATAACATTTTTTCTTCTGAGCTGCTTATCTAAGATTTCCATAGTTTTTTGTTTTTGTCAGATTTTCATTTCTGTTTTGTTTTATTTCCAAAAATTATAAAATTTCCGACTATGTTATTATTTATAGATTCTTTGATATTTGGCTCCATCTCTTTCATTTCCCGTTTGGTTTTTGATATGTCATTTTGTATATTTTGTAAAATTTTTATAACTTCTTCCATTGTAAACGTAAAAAAACACGCCCTCTATTATTATTATTCGGAATAGCAACAAAATGTTTGGTGTTAATTGCTTGCGCTTGCACTTGCAAAAGGTTTGAATCGTATCTTGTAGATAGTTTTGTTGTTTACCGATAGATGGCCCTATTGTGAGTATTTTGATTGCAATGACTTTTAACTTTTTTCCTGGGATTAATTTGAGGTTATAATATAAACAAGATTTGCCAAACAATATAATTGTGCTTTAATACATTTTTTAGAATTAATAAAGCACAATTATATAGTAGAGCCAATGTAAACATGAGCACAGTCGCGCCCTCTCTCAATAATGAATAAAATAACCCTATAATTAATAAAATTAAAACTAAACCGCATACCACTGCAAGACTTCAAAACGCAGTTAGTTCATTCTTGCGTAGATCGGACCAAAAACAATAATTAAAAAAGCTGAAGGTACTCCGTATTAACTTTGACATCGGGACGTTAGTCACCTCAGTCCCCCGTGACCATGGGTGCTGGAAAGCACCCGAAACGTCGGTTATTAAAAATAAAATACAACGCGATAAAATCCGTAAAAGTAGTTTTATGAAAACTAAATAAATTTTAATTTTAAATAAATGGTAAGAGTAAGAAGTGAATAAAGCAACTCTAATTCCAAGTCAATTTACCTTTTTTATGGATACACCGGAAAACATGTCCTAACGTATTGCTAGGCGTATAATTCACACTCGAAATTCTAATTCTAAAAATTCGTTTCTTTATTAGTACCTAGGTCAAATAATCTCTGACAAAATTCCTGTGAGAGACAGACACAGACACTGAGGTGCGGTAATCCCCTTGTTCATCCAAATGTTCTCACAAAGCAGTGATGACATTACTTAGTAGAAAGTAGTTTTACGCAAGTAAAATACTAGTAGTTAATAAATTCAATAGATACACAGTTGCTACTTTTATGTAAATTGAGTGATATTATCTAAACTACTGTGATGATGACGATAATGAATTACCATTATCACAGTAATATGGATGATGTCGACCTCACAATATCGATATTAATAATGATGTAATGCAAGCTACTTTATTATTACTTTATTAGCTACGTTATTATTACTTTATTAGCTACTTTATTAATATTAAAATATCAGTGAACACCAATGATCGACGACTGTGTAAACAATATTTATTCATACTTTTTTGTACTCAATTTTTTATGAATAATTTAATAGGACAATATGGCTAAATGGCATTATTAACAGACGGCTGTTACTATTTTTTTTTAAATGAACTGTTCATTCCTTTACTCCTATATCTATGCTCTATGGTTCATTTAACTGTTTTATTCTTATTGCTTCGTGATTCTGGTTAGTCCGTTGCACGGGTGAAGGTGGAGAGCGTAAAGGAAAGCCTTGTATCCTTCGCGCTTTTTCTGAGAAAGAATAGGGGTATAAGTTAAGTGCTGCGAATTAACGCAAACGCATACAATTGTCTTCTGTATATGTGGTAAAGGGGAAACACTATGGGGTTTCAGTCAGTATGTCCAATTTAATCCGTGCCAGGTCTGCTGAATAAATGTAGTCCATTACCCTTAAAAATAAAAGGGTTATTCGTAGTCGAGAAAACGGAACTGGGACAAAATCGACTGGTGCTTCTGATTGGAATTTTAATTGAAGTCGGTTAACCTCCGCTTGGTAGCGGTTTTAATGGAAATCTACTAGAAAGTTTTTCTTTTGATGACATTTTCATACAATTAAAGAATCGTTGCAAGGGTATTTATATATGATGAGTGGCAATTGAAACCAAAAGTTAACGGTTGTAAATGTCACCTTTGACAATGCGCCCCGAGTGAAATAAAAACATAACGAGCTATTAGCTAATCAGTAATAGCGTTTTGATGCGTGTGTGTACTTAAAATAAAAAATACGTTTTTTTTTTGTATTAAATGTATTTATGTGATCAATATTAAGAAACGGTCAATATTAAGAAACTGGATTTATAATTTAATAATTTTCTGGATGTGCCCACTAACACTACTAACGCCACACTAATAACGCTTGTTTTCTTGATTCTCGACACTAATTTTTGATTCGGAAAATAGCTTTTATAAACAGAACCCAAACTAAGTGAATACATTTTAAGAGTAAGCCTGCAGTTTAATAATATATTTCCTTTTTAGGATTATGGAAAGGTATTAAAATCATATCATATAAATGCTGTAAAGCTGGAGGCGTTTCAACATTCCTAATGGGTCCTATTAAATTTTATGGTAAGCATACTTCTAAAGCGGAAAAATCAATTCCGGTATTCATAAGGCCCAACTTTTACATATTTTACTAATTTGTAAAGCATTGATTCATTTGAAAACATTTAAAAATAATGATTTATTTTGTGTTAAATTAAATTTTATTTGTTGACTTAAAATCTAATGTTCCAGTTAATTTGTGGTTATTTAATTAATATGTGTGCTCTAAACAAGTTTTTATGTTTTATTGGTTCTTTATATTTCTTAAGTATGTTATTTTGGATATACGTCTATTTGGAAAAAATAACTTCCTTAACCAAAAATTTTGTTGGAAGTTATAGCAAGATAGCGATAAAGTCACCTATTTCTATAGATTATTTGTATATAATATTCAATGTTTATGTCGGATGATTAAAATTATTATGAAGAAAATAAAAAAAGAATTGAATATGTTTATTTACACAGATAAACGTGGTATGGATTATAACTAACAACACTACTACACACTGTAGTAAATTTAAAAAATAATTATATATAAGTTATAAAACAGAAAACACTGTACAAAGTAAATTAAATACACCAGCTTAATGGCTAAAATAATAACATAAAAAAGTTTACTAAAAAGAGAAAAATATCATACCCCACGTCACAACTAAGATGATTCCTACGATACCTATTATTATGTTTAAATCCATCAAGCAGATTGGGCTCTGTAGCCTAAGAAATAGAAATACATACATCGAAACACTTTACCCTCCTTTTGAGGAAGTTGGGTAAAAATGGACCCAAACTTTCAGTCACTGCAAAACAACTCCGTAATGGTAAGATGGGGAAGAAGGAAGTGGCTTGGTATACTCGCCTTACAAACTCAAACGTGGTGAATTAGTTGGCTTTTTCTTCGAAGTGCTTATTTTGAACAGTATACTTAAATGCTATTGATGTGACAGTTATTAGAATATTAAAATAGATCAGATGATTGATGAGTCTACGTTGGAATGTCTTTTTATATTGCTAATACTACTTGTATTATCTTTGAACTCCGATAGTAACTGAGTTCGTTAAATTGTTCACTTTTCAAAACTAGTGCCTGACCGAGTATCGGAGTTGGAGGATGCATACGTCGATTGAATTATCGGTTGAAGTTGGAATTAACTATAAAAATTTATATTATAGTCGCACAATTTTTCCTAGGTAAACATAGAGCCGTGGTAGCTCAGATGGTTAGCGCTCGTTGTAAATTTCGTAGTACGCGAACAAACCGGGTTCGATCCCCGGCAGCGCCAATGACATTGTTGATTGCAATTATATGTGCTGATTTATTACGTGCTCGGCGGAGAAGGAAAACATTGTGAGGAAACCTGCATGTGTGAGAAATAAAAAAAAAATTCGAAGAGATATGAAGTTTGCCAACACGCAGTGGGGCGGCGCGGCGGACAATTACTTCCCCTAAAACCCTTTCGTATATGAGTGGAGGCCTGTGCCCAGGAATGGGACGTATATAGGCTGTAACTATAACTAACTATAAACATAGTCAAGAAAAAACAAACAAAAAAGTTTTGAGGATATGATATCACTCTGCTTTACACCTCTTTGCAGTTGTATAGCCCGATAGCCATAATAGCCTTATAGTACAACTTGAGCACTTCGATATACCACTCATCAAATTTACATTGCTGAAAGTTTTTTGCACCACCTAAACTTCCGGGAGGGCGACCTTCTGTCCCAAGGAGGTGTCGGATTTATCGTCCACAAGTCTCTCGTCAACAACGTTGTAAAGATTGGGAGTGTGTCGACGAGGGTCGCGTACCTGATACTCAGTCACCAAACGGTATTCGCTGAAGGTCATACAGGTCTACGTACCAACCTCGGCACATCCCGATGAGGAGGTGGAGGAAATGTATGAGGATATTTCTAGAGCCATGCATTCCCACTACACGGTGTTGATGGGAGACTTCAACGCAAAACTAGGCACAAGAGAAGGCGGTGAGCTGAAGTTAGGGAAATTTGGAATAGGGACGAAACCCAAGGGCAACGGAACCGTAGGGGCCAGCAACTGGCTGACTTTATGGAGAAAGAGGGACTCTTTATGATGAACTCTTTCTTCCAGAAGCGGCCCCACAGGAAGTGGACCTGGTCAAGCCCCGACGGTTCGACAAAAAATGAGATTGACTTCATTATGACGACCAGGCGCCAACTGTTCAGTGATGTCTCAGTGATCGCAAGGGTGAAAACCGGCAGCGATCTCCGAATGGTTAGAGGCACACTGAACCTAAACGTTAAGTTGGAGAGGTCTCGTCTAATGAAGTCAACGCTCCGTCCCCCTCGTGCTCTAATCCAGAATCCCGAGACTTTTCAGCTCGAGTTACGTAACCGCTTTCAGTGCCTAAAAGATTGCAATGCAGTGGACGATATGAATGACAAGCTCGTGGAAACTGTCCATGCGGTCGGAGCTAAGTTTCCGACGCAGAAGAACACAAGAACTCTCCGATCACTCTTAATCTGTTAGACGGGAGATGAGGCTGCAATCGTCAACAGATTTGTCAGCATACAGGCAACTAAACAGACAGATCTCCAAATGCATGCGGCAAGACTTACGCAACTTTAATACTGCTCGTATTAAAGAAGCGATCGAGCGGAACCAGGGCTCCAAAGTCTTTGCCAGAGATCTGTCTGCCAGAAAGAGCCAACTGTCAAAGCTGAAGACTGAGTGTGGCAGCATCGTTTCCGAGACACCTGAGATTTTGAGTGAGATTGAGAGGTTCTATGGGCAGCTGTACACATCATCGTTGGAGCCAAGCGCAAGTGTGAGTAACGATCCAAGAGCAAGTCTTACCCGACACTATTCCGATGATATCCCGGACGTCAGTCTGAGCGAGATTAGAATGGCTCTCCAGCACCTTAAAAACGGCAGGGCCCCAGGCGAGGATGGAATTACAGCGGAGCTTCTGAAAGCGGGTGGAACACCGGTACTTGAAGTCCTTCAGAAGCTCTTCAATTCCGTCCTCCATGGTGGCACTACTCCAGAGGCGTAGAGCAGAAGTGCGGTGGTCTTGTTCTTTAAGAAAGGCGACAACGCTCTCTTGAAGAACTACAGACCGATTTCCCTTCTGAGCCGCGTCTACGTGCTGTTTTCGAGAGTCATTACGAATCGTCTCGCACGCAGACTCGACGACTTCCAGCCTCTCGAACAAGCCGGTTTCCGAAAAGGCTTCAGTACCATAGACCACATACATACCCTGCGGCAGATTGTACAGAAGACCGAAGAGTACAGTCTGCGACTTTGCCTTGCCTATGTGTACTATGAAAAAGCCTTTGATTCCGTTGAAATTTGGACGATCCTACAGTCCCTTCAGCGGTGCCAAGTTGACTGTCGGTATATCGAGGTACTGAAGTGTTTGTACAGTAGGGCTACGATGGCTATTCGAGTACAGAATCAGAGCTCGAAACCTATCCAACTGCAGAGAGGAGCAAGACAGGGTGACGTTATATCCCCGAAACTCTTCACCGCTGCATTGGAAGACGTTTTAAAGCTACTGGACTGGAAAGGATACGGTATTAACATCAATGGCGAGTACATCACTCACCTTCGATTTGCCGACGATATAGTCCTTATGGCAGAATCGCTGGAGGACCTTAGCACTATGCTCAATAACCTCAATGGTGTCTCCCAACGGATAGGTCTTAAGATGAACATGGACAAAACAAAGTTCATGTTTAATGTCCATGTCTCACCTATGCCGGTAGTTGTTGGGAGCACTATGCTCGAAGTTGTTGACGAGTACGTTTACCTGGGACAAATAGTCCGACTAGGTAAGCCAACTTCGACCGAGAGGTCAATCGACGGATTCAACTCGGCTGGGCAGCGTTCGGGAAATTACGACACATCTTCTCGTCAGGTATACCTCAATCTCTGAAAACTAAAGTGTACAACCAGTGCGTGTTGCCAGTGATGACTTACGGATCAGAAACGTGGTCCTTCACTGCTGGCCGTATGAGGACACTCAAGGTCGCTCAGCGAGCTATGGAGAGGGATATGCTCGGAGTTTCTCTGCGTGATAGACTCAGAAATGAGGATATCCGCAGTAAAACCAGAGTGGTCGACATAGACCAACGGATTAGTAAGCTGAAGTGACAATGGGCCGGCCATATAGCTCGAAGAACCGATAACCGATGGGGAAGAAAGGTTCTCGAGTGGCAGCCTCGTACCTGTAGGCGTAGTGTAGGGCGACCCCCCACTAGATGGAGTGACGACCTGGTAAGACATGCAGGAAGTCGATGGATGTAAGTGGCTCAGGGCCGTGCCTTGTGGCATTACTTGGGGGAGGCCTATGTTCAGCAGTGGACTTGTGAAGGGCTGTAATGATGATGATGATGATAAAGTATCAAAATGCAGATACGTTGTCACTCCTGAGGACTAACATGGAATGCCTTGATTCCAGTTAAACGGGTCTCCGGTTCTGTACACTCACCATACGAAGCACTGCAGCATTAAGCTGCTATTTTACGCTGGTACTCTGTGAAAACGTGGTCCTTCCCCGGTCGAACTAACCCATTCGTGCTACAACCATAATATAGCTGCAGCGTAGCTCTACCACCCATAAACTTTAACTGAACAGAAGGACTTCATGTACCGGTTTTCCAACCACTTTCAGACTCTGCTCTAATTCCACCAAATAAAACATTTCACTGCACTTGATTTTTTTTAATTTCTCAAACATTATGGTTTCCTAACTATATTTTTTTTTACCACGATACACGAAACAATAACCTCACGTATCTCTAAATATATGAAGACCAGTACATTTTTTACTGAGCTTTTGTTTTTATCGATGTTACAGTAATAACAGATCCTGACGATTTTATGACTGTTGCGAACTCATGTCTAGAGAAGGGCTTCTTATATAATTTTGCTAAACCGTGGCTTGGGAATGGCTTGTTGACTGCACCGCGTAAGTAAAAATTGTATTTTGTTATTTTATGTATTTAAAACAAAAAATAAAGTTTTATTTTTATGACCATATACAGTAACAAAATGGAAAGCCCATCGGAAGTTACTAAATACGGCATTTAACAAGCAAGTTTTAGATGGATTTTTAGATGTTTTCAATTGCCAATCCAGGATTTTACTTAAAGAAATATCTGTGGAAGAGGGAAAAGGACTTTTTGATCATGAAAAGTATATAATGCGAAACTCCTTGGAAACAATATTCTGTAAGTACCTTTATGAATTATTTTTCATGTAAGTAATGATGAAAATCGAGTACATGACCCCAGTACTCGATGGAGTGGGGATTGTAGAGCTCAAATACAACATTTTGTCCTTGATTAAAAATCAAATTGCGGATGTGTTGCCAACCTTGGTCATTTTTTTATATAGGATAAGGGTAACAAACGAGCACACATTCGAGTTATTGTGGCCCATAAACATATTCATCTATCACAGATTAAGAAGCAAAATGCATATGCATTGTCACCCCTGAGGACTAAGATAGAATGCCTCGTTTCCAGTAAAAAGGGTCTACGGTTTTCCACCCCCATCAAACAAAACACAGCAGCATTATGCTGCTATTTTATGCTGGTATTCTGTGAGAGCGGGGTCCTTCCAAGTTTAATCAACTTGGAAGGACCACTTAACCTTAATATTATAATAACCCTTTTTATACAAACTTAGTTTAATAACATTTTTGAACTTTGTGTATGACAAATTTTGTATATTTTCTGGGATTTTGTTGTAAAAGCGTATACATCGCCCCAAGAATGAATTACTGACTCGGTGGAGTCGAGTAACTGGTACTACCAGCTTGTGTCTGTTCCTAGTATTTACAGAATAAATATCACTTATTTTCGCAAAACTACTTTTATTTTTGTGTACGTACATTACATTTTCATAAATGTATTGAGAGGCCAGAGTTAATATATTAATTTCCTTAAATTTTTGTCTCAGTGACTCTTTTGGTTTTAAATTATATATTGCTCTAATGGCCCTCTTCTGTAAAATAAATACAATTTCAGTGTCAGTCGCGTGTCCCCATAGCAAAATACCATACGACATAATGCTATGGAAATAACTAAAGTAAACTATTCTAGCTGTTTCAACATTGGTAAGAGTTCTAATCTTTTTTTACAGCATATGCTGCAGAACTAAGTCTGCTAGCTAGTTTTGATATATGGGGGAGCCATTGAAGCTTTGCGTCTAGTGTGATTCCAAGAAAAATGATGGTATCAACAAGACTCAGTTCCTCCCCATTTAAAATTACATTAGTATTGACATGTTTAACATTAGGAGTTACGAATTTCATACATTTAGTTTTAGTTACATTCAAATGCAAATTATTAACATTAAACCAATTGACTAACTTAGCTATAGCATTATTTACTTCGTCGTAATTTAATAACTGTCGTTTTAATTTGAAAATTAATGAAGTATCATCAGCAAATAATACTATATCATGGTTATCCCCCATACTATGTAAGGTAAGTCATTAATATATACAAGAAACAGAAAGGGGCCGAGAATTGAGCCCTGAGGCACGCCCATTTGTACAATCGACCCGGAAGAACTCATACTATTAATAAAAACTTTTTGTGTTCTGTCACTTAAATATGAAATAATTAATTTAAGAGCATCATTTCTTACACCGTAGTGTTGAAGTTTCTTGATTAATGTTTCATGGTGAACACAATCGAAGGCTTTGGATAGGTCACAGAACACACCCAAAGCATCTTGTGAATTCTCCCATGCTTTAAATATATATTTAATCAGCTCAACACCAGCATCAGTTGTCGAGCGACCCCTTGTGAAACCAAATTGATTTTTATGAAGTAATTTATTTACATTAAAAAAATTAACAATTGATCAAGAATAATTTTTTCAAAAATTTTACTATGAAGTAATTTATTTACATTAAAAAAATTAACAATTGATCAAGAATAATTTTTTCAAAAAATTTTACTAAGTGTTGGCAGTACAGAAATAGGTCTAAAATTAACGGGGTCCAATGTACTACCAGATTTAAATAAAGGTATTACTTTACTATGCTTCATTAAATCAGGAAACACACCAAATTTGATACTTCTATTAAAAATAGTAGATAGTTGAGGTGCGATTGTATCTATTATAGACGCAATAACTTTAACAGAAATCCCCCCACAGATCGGCGGTTCTCTTAATATCAATAGTCTTAAAATATTTTACAATATCTTTTGATGAAACTTTATGAAATGTAAAATTCTTTGTACACACATTTACATTTTGTTTAAGTAATGATTCGGCGACGGTAGGAGAAGAATTCAGTGACTTAGTGGTTAAGATCGGAATATCAGTAAAATATTTCTCAAAAACCATTGCAACGTCCTGATCTGATTTAGTTAATTTATTGTTAAAAGTTAACTGGTAGTTTGAATTACGAGAGTTAACCTTATCAGTTTCACTATTAATTATACTCCATGTCATTTTAATTTTATTAGAAGCAGTCTTTATTTTGTTGCTTAAATACAATGACTTGGCTAAGGAGCACACTCTTTTAAATATTTTGGAATATTTTTTTTACATATTCCCTAAATTCGACGCTAGGATTATATGACCTTTCATTGTAAAGTTCATATAACCTTTGTCTACTCTTATGGACTCCTACTGTCGCCCATTCATTAAATGCTTTACGATTATTCAAGGAGAATGTTTTAGAAGTAAAATTATTATTAAATTCATTGCAAATGAGCTTAAATAATGTTGCATACAAAAAAAATTGGATTATTTTGGTATGAAAGTAATGGAAGTTTTTTTACTATGTTACTTCTAAACTTCTCCAAGCGATGTGCATTTACTGGAACAAACACTACTTTTTTATCTACTTGCTTTTTGTGAACATAAGGTAATAAAACAAATTGTCCACAGTGATCAGAGCTCAATTTTTGAATTATACATTTATTGAACGGCTTAACATTTATAAAAATGTTATCTATACATGTTGCACTAGATTCAGCAATACGTGTTGGCTCCAAAAATGAATTAAAAAGACCATAAGATTTAAACAATGATCTAAATTTAATATTAGTGGAGGAAGCTTCTAGGACATTGATATTAAAGTCTCCACATATTACAACAGATTTATTCTGTTTATTAAGCTTAGTGAAAACTTCCTCCATAATTTTTTCAAAAGTATCATATAAAGAACATGGGGGTCTGTAAACGCTCACAACAATGAGGTGCTCAAACTCAACACATGCCATTTCTACAGTTCGCTCAACAGAGAGGCTCACAATATCTTTACGTTCTTTATATGATAATAATTTACTAGCTAAAATTAAGGAGCCACCTTTTAAAATCGTTTCTCTATTGAAAAAACTGAGCACCTGGTGATTACTAAAGTTAAACATTAAATTATGAGCTTTTAACCAATGTTCAGTAATACATAAAATATGAAAATTGTTGCTATTTAAAAACAATTCAATTTCTAGCTCTTTGCCTATCATGCCTTGTATATTCTGATGCACCAGGTGTAAAAAATTTTTATTATCATTTTGGGGAGTTATACAATTGCAACTATTAAGGATTTGTAAGCTACATTCTAAATTATTTAAATTATTATAACTGCTAGAGATTACCTCTATTGTATCATTTTCTAATTTAAATTACTTGGAACGGATTCCAGATTACATGTCAAATCATTATGCTGCTCAATAGGAGCAGATGTCTGGGTAGCCAAGTCCTTGGCTGAGTTAATATATAAATAATAAGATAGCACATTTGCTATCTGTCTTAAATTATATTTGGATAGGTAATACCTATCTGTAGTCAAAAATTTCTTAATTAAATTATTAATATCTATTAAATTAATTCTATTGGTATAATTGTTACAATTAAATGTCAAATTTAAATTATTGTTACATGATTAAAACTACTTTTACGGATTTTATCGCGTTTATTTTTACTTTTTATTTACTTTTATTTTTAAATCCCGACGTTTCGGGCGCTTTCCAGCACCCATGGTCACGGGGGACTGAGATGACTGACGTCCCGATGTCATTGTTAAACCCGGAGTACCTTCAGCTTTTTTAATTATTGTTTATGGTCCGATCTATGCAAAATGAACTGACTATGTCTTGAGGTCTTGCAGTGGTATGCTTGGGTTTAGTTTTAATTTTATTGATTATAGGATCCCAAGCAGGTGGTAGTACCCAGCCTCCTTCTCTATTGAAATATCTTATATAGGACAAAAGTCACTACAAAGTGAATATTACCACAAGGCGCTTAAAAATTGTGACAAAGAGCCTCTCAAGATGTGGAATCTCATTAACTCCTTAGCCAGCCATCTTCTCTATTAAAATTAGGATGTTTTTTGATTTCAATAGCCTCGCGAATCATCCTTGGAAAGAATCGGTGTTCTTTAGCGAGGATTTGCGGTCTATCAAATCTGATGTAGTGACGGGGGCGATCCTGTACATGTTCACAGACTGCAGACTTCCCGGAGCGTCGATTCTTCACATCTGCAGTCTGTGAACACGTACAGGATCGCCCCCGTCACTACATCAGATTTGATAGACCGCAAATCCTCGCTAAAGAACACCGATTCCTTCCATGGATGATTCGCGAGGCTATTGAAATCAAAAAACATCCTAATTTTAATAGAGAAGATGGCTGGGTGCTACCATCTGCTTGGGATCCTATAATAAATAAAATTAAATCCCAAGCCAAGCATACAACTGCAAGACTTCAAGATACCATAAGTTCATACTGCATAGATCGGAACAAAAGTTAAATTTTAATCTATGGTAACCGCAGTGAACTATGACATATGGACGTTGAACATCTCAGTCCCGCCCGTGACCATGAGTGCTGTAAAGCGTTCGAAACGTCGGGTATTTAAAAAATATACGCGATAAATTCCGTAAAAACTAGTATTATTTCAATGTGTAGTGTTCGCGTAAATATAAGAAATCGAATACAAGTATTGGTCTCGATGGTTTAACATGTAAAGCCTTAAAATCTATAAAACCTCTTATCTTAGGAAAATTCACAAACACTATAAATAATTGCTTAGAAAGTAGTTACTTTCCTCATCCCTTAAAATTGGCCAAAGTTAGCCGAATATTTAAATCATAGGAATCCAGGAAATTATCGCCCTCTCAATACTTCCAGTACTCTCAAAAGTATTTCAAAAAGTTTTATACAATCGTTTGGGTATCTACCTAGCATCAGTTGACTTCATTAA